CTCTCTGCTCTCTCTCCTCTCTCCTCTCTCTGCTCTCTCCTCTCTCTGCTCTCTCCTCTCTCTCCTCTCCTCTCTCTCTCCTCTCTTTCCTCTCTCTGCTCTCTCTCCTCTCCTCTCTCTCTCCTCTTTCCTCTCTCTGCTCTCTCTCCTCTCTCCTCTCTCTGCTCTCTCCTCTCTCTGCTCTCTCCTCTCTCTCCTCTCCTCTCTCTCTCCTCTCTTTCCTCTCTCTGCTCTCTCTCCTCTCCTCTCTCTCTCCTCTCTTTCCTCTCTCTGCTCTCTCCTCTCTCTCCTCTCCTCTCCCCTCTGTGTTCACTTCCTGAAGTTTAGTCAAAGTTTCACAATTTTCGTTTGCTTTTTCTGACGGAAGCGTTCGTCACACATGATGTGTTCAAGGACCGTCTTAAAGATAAAAATCTGATGTTTTTCTCACAGCTCCTGACTGGTTAACAGCGTAGTTCTTTTGCTTTTCCGTCCCTCCGGCGGGTGTTTTTGGGTTCAGAGGGTTACGGTCTCTGGTGTGTTGAGTCATCTCGTCTCCGTCTTGCGATCCGAGTCGATAAAAAGCCGAGTCGTGCATAATTTAAGGCCGGGTTCAGTCGCAGGTTGCTCCACAGTTCACAACACTAAATGCTGGAGAGACGTTCCGTGTTTGGACACAGCTGTGTGTTAAACCCTCGAGTACGATGCATAACTCGGCAGCGAGTAGCCTCTCTGTTGATCATGTATTTCATGGAGCAGTAATGTAGAGGATGATGATATCTGTCCGTTATCTCCGTGCTCTCTCTCACATCACACCGGTGGGTTTATATTTGGCCATCTTGCATTCAGTCAGCCCTCTTCTGCTCCCCGGAGAGCTTTTCTTGGCAGCGGCTGTTTTTCTCTGAAATGATTGATGTCACCGTCTCTCCTCCGAGAGTTAGAAAAAATAAATGTCCACTTCAGTGAGCCGGCCCACACCGGACTGCTGCTCCACTTTCTCTCGTCCTTTTCTCCTCCATCGTTCACAGCACTGCATTTCACAACCAGGCGGTTTCTTATTCTGTGTTTTATTTTTACATAAGCACTTCTAGTTGCAGAATCCTGACGCTATTCATAGCATCACCTCCTGACGTAGTCACAGTCTGCACTTTATTCTTCCATCAAGGAACAGCTGCTGTTTCTTTGTGAGATATTAATTTACTGAGGAAATGTAAAAGAGACCTCTCTGGATTTATCTCACTTTTTATAAACGGTCTGTGCCAGCAACCCTTAGCTTAGCTTAGCTTAGCTTACCATAAAGACTAGTTTAGCTTAGCATAAAGACTAGAACTGGGGGAATCAGCGAGCCTTGCTTTAGTTAACGGTAACTAAAGATGCCCATCAGCAGCTTTTTCAGTTATGTTCCCCGTTACTTGATCGCTCTCTCCACCTAGATCTTTTATTTTTGATGAAGAAGAATTGTGGTATGAATCCTGCTCTCAGCTCCTCTCACAGCTGCTCTGCTCCTCTCCTTCAGGGCTACCTGGGTCCAGCCGGCGGCCCCTACCAGGTTCCTCCTGCTCAGCCCTACGCTCTGCCCAGCGACCAGCCGGGACAGCTGCACTCGCTGCCCCCCAACGTGTCGGCCCCGCACAACGGCCAGGCCGCTCAGCCTCCATACATGAGGTAAGGAAGCAGGACAGAGGAGGGACTCCACGGGGGTGAAAGTGGCTCCTCGCCTCAGACTACATCCGCACTAAAACCAGGGCTTTAAAACCAAAACTACCTCCGTCCACACTCGTTCGGATGCCTGACGACGCGTATCGTATGACTATTCAGTGTAAACAGGAAGTAGATTGGTTGAATAGTAAGAGAAAATACGACATTATAGTACTCTTTAAAAGTACTCTTTAATAGTTAGAGGTGATACTTAAGATGGGTCTTCTCTCCTCACAGCTCTGCTATGAACACTCAGTACATGAACCACGCTGCTGGAGCTCCTTACCAGCACCAGGCCGGCGTGCCCGTAGACATGTCGACCTATCACAGCTCCGGCATGCCTCCCGTGTCCTACCCGGTGTCCGCCCCCCCACACCAGGCTCCTCCTCCTCAGCATCAGCATCAGCATCAGCATCAGCAGCAGCAGGCGGCCTACTACCAGCAGCCTCTGCTGTAAAACTATGACCGCAGACCTGAGACCAGTACACACTACAGATGTTTCACTTTCCAGGGGTGTGTTCATCTGGCTCCCTGTTTGTGTGTGTGTGTGTGTGTGTGTGTGTATGTATGTGTGTGTGTAGGTGTAGGTGTGTGTGTGTGACGCAGGTCTGTTCTTCTGAGTCGGGACCCTCTTTAGTGTGCATGTCCTCAGCTACTGTACGTGAAGCCAAAACACACCCACGGCGTCAGGAGTCTCCTCCCGTCCTTCACTGCTTTTTGTTTTTTCCCAGCTGTCAGTGAACGCAGCGCAGGTCTTCACAAATGTCACAGTTCAACACAGAAGAAGAAGAAAAGGAGGAAGAAGAAGAGTTGGGCTTCTCCAGCCACCGATACAGGACCATGTCATGAGCATATTACACAATTCATAGTTCAACAAACGTCACTATTTCTGAATTAAATCGCTCTCGCATGATTCCGGCTCCTTGGAGGAGAACGGTTCACCCTGATGTAGATAAATGAGGAATAAAGATGTTTCTAATCCGTCGATGTAGAGAACTGAAGTAAACATCAGTCTGGTGTAGTTTGGACACAACATGAACTCCATTTGACACTTTAACACAACAAAGAAAGAAGTGCAGACTTTATTATTCACACTTGTTTCCTTCGTTACTCGATCTCTAAACACTTTTCTGCATTAACGTGAACGCAAAAGTTTCCTTTCTTTTAGTTTTGTCTTGTTTTTCAGTCTGTGGGTGAACTCATCCAAACACAGACTCGCTTCATTCTTTGTCCTTGTTCTTTAAGTGCAGTTCTGCTGGTGTTTCTGCTGAGTCGGCTCGTATTAAATCTGTGTGACGCGGTGCAGATGCTTCCTTCAGGACTAAGTGAGCAGTCTGGTTTTCTTTGTTTTCTTCCTCAGCAGCGTCCATCACTTTAGAGAAGTACAAACTATTACATGTGTACGTGAACAGTTCTGTGTCTGAATGGTTAGAACAATACTTTCCCTGCAGCTTCACTGGTGATGCATTTAAGATGTTTGTGTGTGTTTCTACATGTCTGTATGTGTTCCAGGGTTCTTCATTGCAAAGTGACGGTCACATGTTGGGGTGAACTGAGACGTCGTCGTTTCTCTTTGTGTGTTTATTAATCTGGTGAAATGCAGCATCTGTTCATGGTTATGACATCACTTCCTGCCTCATCTTCCATTCAGCAGACGCCTGTTAGGAGTTTTATGCAAACGCACGACACTGAGATTCTTTTCACGTCTTATATACTTAAACTTTCTAACTTGTCAGAAACGTTGCCTGTACTTTG